TACATTATAACGGTAGTTTTTCAAACAAAAGCCATGATTTGTCTCAAAGACATTAAGCAGAATGGATTTCCGAATTCCGACTTGAAACTCTGTATAGAAATAAGCTTTAACAAGATAGTTTACCGTGAAAACATCAGAACATTTGTGATCTATTTCTGTGATGAAATAACAACATCGAATGTGTAGTTGTCTATAAGCAATGTACATGAATGATGAACTTTTTATCATGATTGTATCTTAGAATAGGAACAATAATAATTTCTGAAACTTTCACAATAGACTATTCTCGTCAAGCCTTATTTCTCTGCAAAATTTCAAGTCAATAATCAGCTGTTTTAGGATTTCTGAGAATGATAACAAGATTCATTTAAAACCTTCCGTAAATTTGTAGCATCTACGTAACAATAAGACAAGGATCCGAACTCTTTTTGAAGACATTCAAAACTCATTTGAGTCTAGTAAATGGCGCAGAAAGTCCTAAATAAAGTGATTTATCAGTCAAGAGATTCTCCACGTTAGATAGAAGAATCAATACTTTATTTTATCATATTACAAAAAAAAATATTCAATTTATCATAAAGATACAATACATTGCAAAAGAACTTAGTAAAGTTAATTAAATCAAACGATACGTTTATAATTGATTCTACATGGATTAATATTTAAGAAGAAACATCACATAGAAAGAAAGATTAAGAATTGTCTTTTTTTCTCAAATAATAAGATGGAAGAGAAAGAAAAAGAAAAAGAATCTTTATTTCTATATCTATCAAAAAAATAAAAACAAAAACCGATAGGAATTATTAACTCATAAAACCAGCCTGTTCAACATCTATTTGCATAATTTGATCTGCATCACCAGTTCGTTGCTGATAATTATCATTACCACCTCGCCCTCCATTTGTTAAATTATTTTTTTGCCATGAAAATGGCAATGTTGGTTGCGTACGAAAATTAACTAATCCACGTATACGACCTTATTATAACGTAATTATATCATTAATAATCAATTAAATGTAAATACTTACGCATTATGATACAACCAATTATAATTGATATCCAAATGAATAATAATATTATAAATATTAATAAGAATACTAAACAAAGAAGAGAAAAGAAAATCGAAGATGTTTTCTTTTGAAATAGATTGTATTACTAGTTGATCCATGAATACTTGATGTATTCATTGTATTTTGATTTGTATTGAGTATATCTCTTGATGGTAGAAGTCTAGAGATTTTAAAATAAATAAATAAATTGAACAGAGAAAAATAAAATAATATAACAAACCTGAATAAATCATTAAAATCATTTCTGTAACAAGTATTATCATTTTTAATTAATTTTGATTTATAAGTATAATAAATAAGAAAATAACAATCAGCTTGTGGAATATTTTCACATTCAATTAATAAATAATCACCTTTCATAAGAAAAATATCGGGTGATAATATTTCAATCGCACTTTGATTTTTATTTGATAATGTTCTTGAATCATATACTAATTGAATTAATTTTCGTCGAAATTGACGAACACGAATAATATACATACGCCACCACATATTATTTTCATTGGAATTTAATCTTTTTATTCCATATAGTAAACGTGGAACATTTGATGAACGACAAGAAAAATCTTAAAATAACACAAATGATTTTTTTAAAGATACAATACATATTCTTTATCATATAGTTACGTGTTCCCTTTTCTTGATCACCAACCAATATGGTACCCATTTGATATCTTAGTCTTAGAGAAAAAAAAAGACATGTCTCATACATTTAGTTTTACTTAGAATTAAAGAATCTGTCAATTAGTTTGCAAGAAGAAAAAAACCTGCTGCGTGCATTAAAGCACCATGAGTTCGACATGCGATAGTGGCAGGCGGCCATCATAAAGAGCATTCAGAAAATGGTGGGAAGAGAAAGGCAAATAAAACAAGACATTTCGAGATAGGCGAAGAAGAGAGATCAGACTAGAGTAGGAGGGGGCTTAGGAAACTTAAGTCTTAAAGTCTTCTGAAGTTGACTGAAATATTTTAAAGTCTGCTGTTTCCCTTTTCGGGTTGGTCTCGGTTCAAAAGTTGGGGACCCAATGGATTCTAGTCGTCTAAGAAACCAGTATGGCACGCTAATCACTACGTTTCTATAAATTGTAAAAAAAGTATCTCGCGTCTTCGAGAAGACTATCCAATCGACAGGCTTCAGACGAAACCGAGCGGGAAGTAGTAAAGATTTTGAGGCCGAAGTCTTAAAGTCACCTAATGTCGTATGAAATCTTCAGAAGTCTTTGAAAATCACTTGAAGACTTTGAAGAAATTCTAAAGTCTTGAATTTTAGAATATAAGCATTCAAGTAGAGTTGAAGACCTATCAAAAAACGTAATATTTGCTTGCACGTCCTTTATAAGTAACTCCCAATGTGTCTCAGGTAATTGATTAGCGCGCAATGAATCTTTGCTAATGATTAGTATTGATTCCTCTTAGTATGTAGAGGCTGTCAATTTTGTTTTTTTTTCACTCTCTTATTCATCAATACAATCGACTTGATTTGTTTTGATTTTCATAACAAAAAACCTAGAATTTCTTTCTAAGATTTGAGATTGATAATATTTGTTATCCATTATAGCTCTATTTGAATGATTTATAGGAATAAAATAAAAATTTTAGTTTTATTTATAGATTTTTCAACCTATATCAGATTATTTCCCACAATGTATAGTCACTTTTGATCTTCAATGGATTTTGTTTTCTTATAAAAAGAAATTATCGTCTGATTGCTAATCAGCAGTACTTGTAGGCATAGTATCAGATAATCCTGATATGTTCTGTTAAATGATACATCTGAATTCAAAAGTAAAATGACTTACGATTGAATTGATATGTACAGTATAACACCTGATTGTTCTTTATGTGTTTTTTTTTCTTTTCTATACATAACTGTAAGTACAATGGATTTAAATTTTCGTAAATCAAAACCAGAACCTATCCGACGAAAAAAATAAGAAAAATTAGAGCTCTATCAAAATCTTTCTTTTTTACCATCAGATATACGAAAAAGAGATGATGATGAATATGAAGTCCATTCATAGATCAACATTGATTCACTACCATTACATACCGTTTTCTCATCATACCTAAAATAAATTATTTTTGTTTTTTGACTTTTTTAAACACATTGCGATATTCTCTTATACGAAATCGAAGGATGAATAGATGTTTTACAAAGATGAACAGTCAAGTATTGAATTGTTTTTCGATGTGTTTGAATTGATGGTTCAATTTCAACTAAAAGAAAAAAAAGTTAAATTGTTACTTTCTGAAATTGAAGTAGGATTTCAAATTAATGAATTGTTTTGCATTTTACACTGAAATGAAGAGAGAGAAGAGTTTTCATTATGAGAAAGTCGTTGTGAAAGTTTTTCATCAATGATATCTGGAGAATTCTTCGTTTGTTTTAAACATTTTGAAATTTTAAACTCAGATGTTCAGAAGGAGGAAATGGCACGATCAAAACAGAACTGGAGCAAGTTGGTAGTCAAAAAAGTGAATTTTGACTAGACGCCCTTTACAATTCGTCTCTGTACAAAATATTATATGCATCAAGTTTGATGACTTAATTGGCGCAAATAAAAAAATTAGACCAAATGTATCACAGAAGCCTTCTCAAATAAAAAATTCTTTTTTCTAGAGCAGACAAATTCTATATTCAATAAAATGAGAATAAAATGTCCAAAAATTTTTAGCATAAAAAAAGTTAGTTATTAGTAAAAAAATTATTATAATTGAAAATAAGAATCATTTATAGAGTAAAGGATGAAACGAAAATGAACCTGAATTAAAAGTTAAACGAATTACCTAAGACATAGAACCAGTAGAAGTACGAATTTGAGACCAATTGTGTCTGGGCTATTCAGATCGGCTCCATTGCTGAATAGCCTTACCCTCACTCGTTCCCTATGATGGATATCTTTTATTGGGACGTTACTAATATGGCTGCTTCCTCAAAGGAGTTCTCTGTATGAACGATTACTAACTTTGATTTGACATTTTCTTTGTCAATTATATGCTATTAAACATGTCATCAGAATAAAATTAAGTCAAAAAGTTTGTTTCGATTGAGTCAGATGAAAAATAAATATTTGAATTTCGTTTATTGGAACATATTATTTTATTTTCTATTTCGAACTTTGCTTCTTATACTAAACTTTATCATAAACAAATATTTATATTCCAATTCCGCAGCAGAAGTGAAATATTCAATGTTGCACGCTTGTCAATATTATCGTCGATATGGTGCACTTTACACCGTATGGTCTATCTATTATTTGTGTTCGATTTAAATCACATAAGATGTTTCTTCCTAAAAATCCGTTTAATTCATCTTACCAATTGTCCATTGATCTTCATCCTTGGGCAATTTATATTTAATATGTACTGATTTCTATTTAAAAAAAGAAATAGCTTATAAATGAAATAGAGTAAGATAATATATACATGTGGTGTTACAGTTGGTAATGCTGAATTGCCTGGTGTCAGTAAAGTTATATTGAATTTATTTGATGGAATAGATGATCTTATAGATGAAAATTTAAAGCATAAAATAAATGAGCATAATAAGATGCGTTGCCAACGTAACATGTTACTATTGTACATTTTGTTCCATATGTTGTTTATTACCTGTAAAAAGTTTTTATATAAGTATTTAATGAGAAACGAAATGAAAAAGAACGAAAAATAAAAAAAGAAAGCAATATTTGTGTCAATAAATTTACTTTGTCATCCTAATGCGTGGTTATCGATCATTTACATATATATGTGTGTATACGATAATGATAACGTCGTCGCCTATAAATGCATTTATTTTTTTTAATAAACGACATTTTTATGCGTACTAAGCGATATATGCTAGATGTATCAATGAAACAATCAGCAATGAAAAATTGTTGACTCAAGAAATGAGATTTCTTTTTATAAAGTATGAGAATACTCAAACGAAATTTCTCTTTTTGATGCACTCAATATGCAACATGTCAATTACTTAGTAGATCATAAATCATTCACATATATGTACTTATTCCGTTTTTTCTTTTTTTTATAATCACTTAGATCCATGGTCTACCTTTATGAATCGGTTAATATTAATGCTGTTTTACTTTTCGTTAATCCACATTTGAAATTTAAGAAAAACGAAAGAGCACAAATGTTAAATGCTTTTCTTTCTTGTTTTTGTCAATAATCCATGATCGAATGAATTTTGATCTATCTTATGCTGCGATATTGAAGTAAAATATTGATTAGTATTAATCTATTTAGCAAAGTTTAAAAGTATGTCATTTGATACCAATCAAATATAGAGCTTTCTTAACTACGAGTTTTTGATAATCAATTAAATCTGCTTACGCATTTTTTTTTGAAAAAGTCTTTTTAATCTTATCGTCTTATTAGTACTCATTAAACTGATTTACAAGTACGGACCGTTCTAGATTATTGTTTTTTTCTTTCTTTGTTTATATGATTTGGTCTTTTAGGTTCAATTTGTCCTACACATTCTATTTTGTATTGGTGTTCAGCAATATCAGTTGTTATTCTTTGAACACTATGATGTCCATTAGTAGTAAAACATTGTTTTCAATAAATCCAAATTGACTAATTAGATATTGTACTAATTTTGAAAGTGGGTTTAACATATTGAAGGTTGTGGGGTGTGCATGTGGCTGTGGCTGTTAGTGTGGATGCGGGTACAGGTGGTGATAGTTAAAGGCGAGGGTGTTGATGTGGGTGCAGATAAACAAAACCTACACTCACACACCCCACCCCAACTCATCTACACCCACCCACACCCACATCTACACTCACATCCACAGACACCCACACTAACCAAAATGCGAAAAGTGAAACCTCCACAGGCCGTGACACACGGGTACTAATATTCATATTAGTCATATAATCAGTTATTCAATTATGTCCAAGTAAATTCATATTTAGATGAGTTATACATAATTAGTAATGAATGTTAAATTTTAAACGAAAAATGTTACCCTCCTTTTCTTCCCCTGGTAGACCGAGACGAACCGACAGGCATGCTTGAGGGCAAGTGTGGGTGTGTTGAAGAAAACATTCACATTCACACCCACACCCACGCCCCTCTTGTGTTTAATGCAAAATAAATAACCAGGTTCATAACGAAAATGCAAACGTCTTCGAGTAAAATATAATAAGAAAGAGTTGTTCGAATTATTTGGTTATATGCTATTCAAATTAGAAAATGACATTCTACAGATTGTCGTTTTTTTTAGTTACACCTATTAGTATCTTAAACTAAAAATTGATAATCATATAAAATATTAATAAAAAATAAAATAAAATAAAATTTTTATTTTTTTATTAATTTCTTTCATGTACTCAACAATTTTTCTTTTTGTTTTAATTAAAAATTCACTATAATTCTATATAATAGTTATTTATCATATCCATCAAGTAATTGATAATTAATTTTTATATTGTTGAATTGAAGTAACTTTAACGAAGAAAATTGTCAAAGTTGTAACTTTGTCAATTTTGTATGACGAACTTATAACTTCATCGTTCGATGTAACTTTTTCGATACGACATATATTAATGAGGGTGTGGGCGTGTGGGCGTGCGTGTCATTTCAACAAAAACTCAGACCCACACTCACACCCATCCATACCCTCACGCTCACACCCACACTCATAGTCCACCCACACCCATGCCCACAGGGTGTGGATGTGGGGTGGGTGTGAGGCTGAGTTTCTGTTGAAATGACACGCACACCCACACCAACAGCTCTGAGCTATCAAAAACCGTATTTAGAGTACAAGAGGGGGTTTTTGAGCGACAATACCCCTTCAAAATACCACCATTCGATTCAGTATGAAATTCTGCACCTAACTCGGTTGGAATGAGTGCCAACTCAGGTGGAATAACGAATTCGAACAGGCATTACCTGGGAAATCAGCTTCCAAAACTAGTATTTGGCGTACAAGTGGCTTTTTTTGACCGACAACCACCCTTGAAAATGATACCATTCGATTCAGCATGAAATTCTGCACCTAACTCAACTGAATTGAGAGCCAACTCAGATGCTGTAGCGAATTCCGACAGAAAATGACGAATATGGTGCTAACTTTACCGCCGTTTAAAACTGATCATCTTTCAAAAACATGCCAAATAAAGCATGAAAATGACTTGCCATCTAGATGATATTTTGTTTTTGACCTCTGATTTGGGTAGAAGGCCTTCAGATCGACAGTTCAAGATACAATATGCTTTCTTACATTTCATTGCATTTTCATCGAGATGTCAAGCTATTATCATAAAAAGTTTGAAAACCTAGTAAAAAGTCAGCGAAATTTCTTATTATTTGCGCATGTTCATACATGATTCCATTTGCTCAATGTTAGAATGTAAGAAGAAAACTATTTGCATTGTATCTTGAACTATAGATCTGAAGTCCCTTTATCTAAATCAGAGGTCAAAATCAAAATTTCATCTAGATGGCAAGTCATTTTCATGCTTTATTTTGCATGTTATTCAGAAGATGATCAGTTTTAAAAGGATTTCGTCTTATACGTTATCGAGAGAAAATATATCCCCACCTCTCCCATTTCAATTGGTGAAAACCGCAGGTCGCTAGCTATTGCGGTTGTCGAGTTATTCGACTTACACTCACCCCTCTTTAATTCTGGCACCGACAATAAGTGCCGGCAGAAAAGTTACTAATCGGCTACGTTTACCGATTATCTCAAGGGAGAAACGACTGACTTGGCGACTATTCTGACGTTAATGACTTTACAAAATATACACCCCCGCGCACTAAAATAAAATGTGTTGCATGTATCGTACTTTGTGACACATTTTGTTCAGCGGCAGCTCGACACATTCTGGTATGACGCATGCAACACATTCTGAAATCGTGGTTCGAATCTATTTTGCAGAGCATTTTTATTTGTTTTTTTTGTAAGAGCAAATTATGATGGGTGTTTTTTTCAATTTTTCCCATTTAACTATTTATATACTGAAAACTGAGGCAGATTAGACCTTGAAATCTGTTCGGCCTCGAGTTGGTCCGATCTCCATCAGACCGCTTCAGGATAGTCCTCTCTCGATCATGGATCGAGGGCAACATGTTCTCGATTTACAAATAATCGAGAAATAGTCTAGAAAAAACATTAATATGAAAATATATAAGTTCCATAAATTCAGTCGAGTGGTCTTTATGGAGCCGTTCATGCAAAATAAAACGGTGAATGAATAGACAGCAGAAAAAAACGCAACAAATTCATATATGACACATTTTATTTTAGTATGTGGACAGAAGTCTTATTCTTCTCTTTCTTATTGTGCTGTCGTACTTCATACCCATCAAATTTATTACCCACTAAAGATATGACATAAGAGTTTTATTTCAATATGGTATACAGATCATACTGAAATAAAGCTCTTATGTCATATCTTTAGTTGATAATAGATTTGATGTGCATGAAGTATCGTAGCATAATAAGAAAGAGGAAGAAAAGACTTTTGTTCACGAGTGCAAGTGAAGTTAGTCGTGGATTCGAATAATTTCAGCAAAGATTCATCCAAAAGCCTGTTTTAGAGTTCCTAGTGAGTATTCCAAGTACAACTTGGCCAGCTCTGTCCAATAGCGTAATTAGATTTCCAATAATCCATTTAATGTTTTTCAAAAACTTCAAACTATTGGTAAATCAGCATAAGTGTTTTGGAACTATTATAGTAAATACATCAGCGACTGGTCTACGAACCTTGGAACACATTCTTGTACTTGTCCAAGTATAACTTGACGAGCTCTATCCAGTAGTATAATTAAATTTTTCATTGTTCAAATAACTAAGGAAAATGATTAGCTGGTATAAGTCTTTCTTCCTAGTATTCAATTCTGAATCTGTGCTGTCTCTATGAATGAGAGTGATGGATGCAGACTTTGATTCTCTGCGAAATGATGGTTTTTTTATGGACATCATGAGGTAAAAGGTAGGTGTTTACTCAAATACTCTTTGCTTAACACTTTTATACCAGCTTATCATTCGACGTATGTGAAAACCTTGGAAGTATTCGTTCACGCTAAATGCGCTGATGAATTGACTTGAGATTAAAACCGCGTTGCTTTGAATCAATATTTTTTTGGATCATGAAGTATAGGAGTCGCTTAATATTTTCGTTAGCTGTAACAAAATGATGCTCATTTTGTGATGCAGGTAAAACAACTATGGTAAGGTACAGTGAGTCCATTCACTTCAATGTTCGTGTAGCTGAAATGAATTAAAGTGAGAAGTGTTCAAGAAATATATTAGATGCTATGCAGAGAGTCAAAAGTGAGTTGAAGTTTTCGTTGTGCAGATTGTTGTACATATTCCTGTGACCTATCCTTGTCGAGCCGTAAAAAATATAATTTTTCTATCAAATAGAGTTCATCAGATTGTTATTTAGAAAAAATAAGCAAGTTTTGGAACAAAAATCTAGGCGAATCCTACACGGGAATACTTGGATATTAAGTTTATTGATAAGTGAGGGTGCTTGTATATAGAGTTTTTTCGAACATAGTTTGAGTTATGGAATATATAATAATATCATGGAATAGAGTTCGTCAAGTTTCACTTGAAACACCGACTGGAAGCTCCGAAGCAGGTTCTAGAACGAATCGACGCTGGAATTATTTAACTCGAATCATGTTTTCTATAACAAAATATCAGTATTTTAGGATCTTTGAGCACACAGTTTGAACTATTGGAAACCTTATTACACCGTTGGATAGAACTCGCTGAGTTGTAGTTGGAACATGTCCTTGAGCGAATTGCTGATAGAATTACTCCACTTCGCTGCTAACTTTAACTACGTCTTGAATCTTAAGTGATGCTGCGTCATCTGGACCGGCAAGCTAACCTATAAGATTGTAAAAGTCAGCATCATGGTAGGTAAACACATTGAAAGCAATACTTGAGGGTTCACAAATAGTTTTCGTGCAGCTATAAATTTAAAAATGATATTAATATAAAATTAAAAAATGATACGTATATTAACAGAGTAACAACGTCTGCTCACGCATAGAAATGACAAGTGAAAACTGATTGATGCGTAGTACACATGAGTTATCTATATGTATCTTTTTCTTTCACCTATTTTTATGTGTGTATCTGTTAGAAAAGAATGTGAAGAAAACATTTTACAGAATACGTCGTCGAGATTGAATAGAAATATGTATTTCTTTATTCTATATTAATGTTTCTTTAACTATAAAAAACTAACATACAGTACTTTTCTGGTGTCTCCGGGTATCCTGTACTAAGCTCTGTTACGGACTGAAGAGTGTTAACCGATAACTATGAAAATTTCCAAGTTGATCTCTTTTTAGATAAAATTTGATAGTATTCAATATTTATATTCTGCTGTCATTGATTCTTGATGATTTTTGAAATCTGCTATAATATATGCACTTGTTTCGAAGATTCTCAGCTAATTTTTCACTTACTTGAATTTTCAAATGCCGGAAGTCTGTTGACTTTCACATGATTTTCATGACCTTCTTGACTTTGGTAACTTTTTCTGACTTTAATGACTTCGATGATTCAGAGTTCACTCAAGTCATCAAAATCAGTCGTTTTCCCTTGGTTTAGCTTTAGTAAACCGGTGCATTCCTATTTGAGGATCTAAAGCAGTCTGCTCAGCTTTTTTAAAATTTTTATTTCACTACAAAAGAAATATTGTACTGTCAATAATATTTTCAGTCGTGTCGATACACTTCGATTTATTCTCGATTCTCACAATCAACCTACATTGCAAACGTCTAATAACTTTCATTCTATTATCCAACATGAATTATTTCAATGATGTATCAATGATCAACATACTTCCGACACAGTTATGCAACCATCAAAATATATTCATATTCTAGTGGCCTATTTTACTTATCACTTATCCATAAAAAACCATGTGGCATTCTTCTAATAAACGAACTCCATACGTTTTCTTTTCTATTCTAGCAATTATCGTTATTTATCTGATTGTGCGATACTATAGACAAGAATCATATCCATCCTATGCTAAATTACGTAAGAATTCTATTCGTATCTTTACGAATACTATCAGCATTTCATCTTCTTCTCCGCTAGCAAAAGTACAAAATAAAACTGCTGTTGTACATGTAGCAGTTGTTCTCGCTTTAGCTAAAGAAACCAGTCATATTGCTGAATTTCATTTATTATATGAATCATGGCGCTTTATTCAGAACTTCTGGCCACTCTCACGACAAGTTTCCATTGATTTGATTGTATTTTGTGAACAACCAAGTTGTCATCAATTACCATCGGCTTGTTTACCTCTTTCCTACAAAACGAAATTAGATATCATAGCGACTTGTTTTTATGAAATATTAAATCCGAAGATAGTCGAAGAATGGAGTGATTATCTCTATATGACATCAATTGCCTTCATATTAACTGAAGAATATCGACGAGCAACTATCGATTACCATTGGATCTTGAGAGTGAATCAAGATGCTGTGTTAAGTCCCGGTTTGCTAATGGGTTTAATTGGGAAGCATCCAACAAAATTGCTTCCTATGCAATTTGGAGGGATCGGTCATGGAACCGAATTTACACATGATCGACTACGAAAGATTGCAAAGAAACTCGGCTACAACCATTCAAGTATACATAATCTATGTTCGACATGGTTAGTCAATCCACATGACTCGGTGAAAATTGCAAATCTGACAACAATCATAGGCAAACATTTTTTAATAAATGAATTTGGACATCAGGTTCCAGGTATGAAACAAATACTTTGTTTTTTTCTTGCTCTTCAATAGGTTAACGATCAAGGGCAGTTGAATGAAAGATAACTGTCTTTTTTGTAAGAACTGCTATTCAATAACTGAGAAGAAAGAAGAAATAGATGTAGTCGATCATTTGTACGCTAATTCAGTCTTGTAGAATTATGAGTATTGATCATTCATTTTGACTGATTATAAAATATGTATTAATCGAACATTGCGATTACTCTTCATAGCTAAATTAGACCTTTGTTACTGTGAAGCCTAGGTTTCCTATAGAAGGTAATTTTATTCGAATAATTTGCTGTGAATTTGTCAATCAAGGTTCATATCTAAGCTTGAAGTATTTTCCATCACCAGTTCTATCACTTGTAGATTGTATTAGAGATTTTTGTATAGGTGCCATCTTTTAGTTACATCTAGAGTACTGTCGATATGCTTTTCTTGAAACACCTAGTGATAATGAATGTTGAAATGTATTGCAAGAAAGTTGAAATCATATTTTCTTCTGCCATTCTTACAGTTAGTGAAAAAGTACTCTTCTAAATAAAGCATAGCCTAAAGGTTGTTCTCATTTAGGCATCGAAGACTTATCTGATAATGGTGAATGGCCCAAATGGTGGCGAGATATCACATCATTGTATGCTGCTGAGATCGCTATCAATCATATTTATTCATCAACCCTTGGCCATCAACATGAATCCAATGCTCTAGATCATCCATCTTTTTCAAAAGATTCTGTATGGAATGTTTGGCATATTCATTGTTTACATAATGACGATTATTTTTCCAAATTCAAACATCGAGACGAATTACAAGAATTTCTAAAACATTCACAAGAAGATCGAATCAAAGAAATTGTCAATACCAGTTCTAGAGATATGCTTCTATTTGAAGTTTTGAATGAATATGAAAAGATGCAAACGAACGATGGTATACCAAATGGTAAAACAACAGTTCGTGATTATGTCAGAGCCTTGGCATGGAGAAAAGCTTATTCAGCTGTTGGTGCTATTAATTTGAACTAGAGACATGTGTTGCCACAGTATATATATCAAATAGATTATGCTGAGCGAAAAATAAACAGCATAGGATGAAATATAAAATTGTTTCAAAAGGTAGTGTTGCGACTTTAAATAGTATAAACAAGACTCGATACAAGTCATCGCCGTCAGTTCGAAGAACGGCAGACATCAGTAGTGAAAAAAATCCAGAATTATTAGGATACAAACACTTTTGTTCATCGACGAAATTCGTCTAGTTCTCAATACAAAAAAACTGAAAGCTAACTTCTTGCTTGTTTCGATCGACTTTCGACTTTGTTCATTCAAGTGTGATAAAGGCAGCCAAGGTCTTGAAACTAATAATATGTAGAATACCTCTATCATATCGATATCTTATCAAACAATCCATTTGACTAAACTCTTCTTTTGATATGTTCGTCCATTTTCAATCAAATTAGTCTACTTTTCTTTGTATGAGAGTAGAATTTCATATATTACCCAGGTTCATGATTATTGTTATCAGACACATAAAATAATTAGAAATTAAAAGTAAAAACTTCAACATTAGAAAATTTAAATCGATTCGATGTAACTATAATTCTATAAAATTGGTCAAGCATATACTATGTCCTATCGTTAGGAAGATTATTTCATTCAACTTGTAGTTTTCTTTAAAATTAGTACAATAATTTTTGTATTTTTAAGGAAAAATACAAACAAAATAAAATAATCTTTCAATAAACAAAATCTACGATTGATCTGCATTATAGAAACCCTAGATTGAACTAGACTCTAACATAATCTTATTTCATAGAAAAATTTGTTAGTTTTATGTGACAAGAATATTTTTTAAAAATTTCTCACTACAATTACTTCATTTTGTCATCTTAATCTTTATTGAGAAAGGGTCATGATCTTCTATTCACTCTTTTTAGGCTTCACTTTTTCAACCTATTAGAATTAATCTTTTATTTAGTTTTTATTTAGTTTTGAGTTTTTCAATGACAATCATCAATAGATACACTGAATAGAAACGTATGAGAGAGATGAATACATGTATGTAAGTATCATCTTTTCTAACATAAGTTTAACATGTAAGATTCTTACTTAAACAAGATTAACATAGAAATATCGAGATTCTTGTGTGTGTGTTTTATTATTTGGTATTGAAGAAAAGCAGACTTTAATGAAAAAGAAAAAATATTATTATTTTTATCTTTCAATAAATTTTGTCAAGCATTTCAGTCCTTTCCTCATCAATCAGAAACAGTTTTCAATCACTACTAAAAGTTTAATTTATTAGAATAAAATTATATTGCAAAGAGAATTTCTCGAAAGTTATAAATTTTGAAGGTAACTGTTTTTTTCTTTGCATTTTAAACCTGTCATACTTCTATCATACATGTGTGCTACCCGCGTGGCGATGGAATGTACCGCAAAAACGACCACATTGCGACTTGACGTCAAGTATGATTTATTTTTAGACGGATGCTCTGTCTCCGCCTCTCTTTTTATTTGTTCACCGAGTAGCTATGCCTCAATCATACCAGCTGTTAAATTCTATTGCTAAATATTTAAAAAAAATGAGCGTCAAATGCTGAAAAAGTTGAGAGAAGGCATTTCATCATTGACTGACTTATTCTTTTTAAGATGATGTTTGTTTTATTAACCTGTTTCACATCCATTTGTTAAATTTATAAATTAAATCATAATCAATGTTAATTAACAATTATACTGATAATAAATTCGCTTAACTGTCAACTAAGGAAATTTCATTGTAACGAGCATAATATTGAAATTTATCTTGTATTCAAAAATGCATAAGTTTAACTGTAAAATAAGTTAACCCTTTACCCCCCCTTGGTCGCTGGAGTGACCATTTGTAGAACGACTGCGGAAAAGAAAGGGAGCATCAGGTTAAAAAACGCTAAGCACCTTTTTTGTAGTAAACTTCATGGGCTATCCATTGGTAGAAAGACTGTTCCTTTTGATTGCTCCGTCTTTGAAATAAAGGGTCTAAAAAATCGAAAATTTTGAATAAATGAAAAAAATTGAAATTTTTTAAGTAAAATACTTTCTACTCGCAGCCAATAGAGATCTCATGGAATTTCTATGTGATATTAATTGACGAAGAAGTTCTTTGATAAATAAAATATATTTCAAAATTTTAGTGATAACTCAGCGAATATGACATACAAAGAAATATGATTGACCATGTAGCCACCAATTGACCTATGGGGCGAAATCAAGAGCACAGTTAATACATATATTAGATACCTCGACTCATGAGAAGTCGAAACTCTATTTATGATGAATTCAATTTGATGAGAAGTTATTAAATGGCCAAGAATAAAATTGGCTTTAATTTGAAAAAACATCTAAAAAACGCATCTATTCTTTGGTGTTCATTTTTATGGGTTTATTTCTCGTCTTTTTTCCATTATTCTAATAGCGCGAGATAGATGTTCCTTCTGTCCACTCAATATTGTGGTCAAAGAATAAAAATCAACTCTTACGGTGTAGTTCAATTTTCTTTCCCTACCCCATGATTTCTGGATAAATCAAATCGTCCTACTCTTGGAGCAGAACATTCGATGGATCAGATTATGCCGTTTGCATACTAGCGAGGGTAGTACTGTATTAATACAGTTATTTTATCAGTGGCTCTTCTGGAACCTACATGGGGGGTAAAGGGTTAAGATCACATCTTGCCTAATTAAATATTTTTCCACGATATTTTCAACTTTATGTTGCTGTTCTTAGATACACGTTCAGAAATGAAGCACTATTTTGTAAAAAATAGCTATAGAGCAACACATATGACGAACCAACTTTTCAGTTACCGTTAGGAGAGATCGCCCGAAAGAGCAGAGTGACTGCGCTGCGTCCACCTCTTTTTCTAGATATGATGTACATATATTTGATTCCAATTCTTATTAAGCAGAACTCAGAATATGACGAACTTTAAGAATAGTCTGTGTTTTCAAGAAAACTATTTTTGATGAAACATTGTAGAAAAAGAACAAAACTTAAATTGATAAATAGTTTGTCGTCTTTTCATATATTATTGATAGAACTTTTTCATTAATTAATTTATTCCGGTTTCATTCAACCGAGTATATTTCCAGCACACTCACAATTAATGACATTTCGAAAACTGATCTGTCAAAACTCTCAAATAACGATGCATTGGATTATTATCATTTCTATTACATCTGAATCTTTGATGAAAATGAATCAAATGATATCGACAATGCTGTATCCATTGACCTCGGTGACTTTTTTCTATGTTGAATTTGACGCTTTCAACAATATCACCTTGCTTATTATCATAAACAACAAAAGTATGTGTTCTTATCGGTCATATCTTTACCTGTTATGGCCATTTCATTCTAGATTATTCTACTGAATACTTTCATAGAATATTAAATGATACAGATCATAATATTGATTGAATTTTTCAAAAACGATTTGTGATATTTAATTTGCATAAAAATCTAAATATTGAATACCAACGGAACAGATGTTCCTTTATGCCAATATAAACTGTAATAGTTTTCATCCTTCGCCTAATTTAAATTCGCATATAAATGTAAAAGTAGTTTCAATAGTCTATTTTCAATTCAAAAACATATATATCTAGTCTTGACTCTGAAGCAGTTTTTTTACTACGAAAATTAAAGACAGAAAAGTTTATATGAATTATCATTGAAATTTGCAATAGAATCAGAAATTTCTAAGAGTATCCTGGGATCAAATCCGTCTTATATTTCTATTGATTCGTCTATTTTATTTATATTTTTCCACAAATTAGTAGAACATGCAAGAATTTATCAATTGTATTCCATATACTTTCTAATAGACTTACGATTCACTAATTTTCGATGAGAAAATAATTAATCAATTGAAAATGTTTTCTTGTCAATGTACAAAATTTCAATTATGAACCAAATATTTTTATCAGATGAAATTGAGATAGATGAGAATTTGCTTTGGTTACTGAACTCAATCTTTCATCAGTTATTTCATGATATTGATTTATTAAGTAAAATCCATACAAGTTAAGTATGATTGTTCGATTTTCAACAATGATTTGAATGTTGATTACAACGTGGACATAGAAATACTGTACTTGTTCCAAAATCTAAGTTTGAGCTTATCAGATTTTATTGCGTATAAATACAGTAAAACATCTCTCAGTGAACATCCTGTTATACCAAGCACTCATGGATACTAAATGTGAACATCAGTAGAAAGCACTACTTAAATAAATTATTGAATTAAAACTATGATAGTGCTTATTCAGAAATTAATTGACTCAATGACTTAGTTCAATGAAGATGAAAGAGAAAAACAAAAACTAATATATATCATTGTCTTATTCAACAACTTTTCAGCATTTGTCTATGAGATATGATATCTCGCAACACTCTTCATTCATAACAAAAAATATGAATTTAATCGAAAATAAAGAAAGCAGTTTATCTTATCGTGAATTAAGAGATATTGTCTCAAATATTCATAAGAGAAAAAATATATATATTGTTCATATATAAAACTAATCTTAGCAAAAAAGCGAATCATTATTTTAGTCAAACCATTAATGATAGTCCTTCAGCCTAGTTACATAAGACCTGCACATGATATTCGAAATTTATCCTATATTCACACTACGACGTAAGAGTTATGGGTATAAGCTGAACAACTCGACAATGGCGTCAGTTTGAGATGTATAATTTTCAGAACTCCAATAAGGGGAACTTCAGACATCTTTTTTAATTGATACAATGTAAGATTAAATTATCTTAAAATCCATCATCTTGTCAAAACATTAAAAAATAGATGAAAACAATGTTTCAATTCAAAGAAATCTTAATAAGAAGCTAGAAAAGAACTTTCTTGGATTTCGTGATCTATCTTGAATCAGAATATTATATATAAAGGAGTCGGTATGAACGATATTTTAACAATACTCAAAGATTCTTTAAAATGGCTTTATACACTAATAATTAACAAAGCATCTT